TTTGAGCTTTTTCTAATGAGATGAGAAAAAATGTCAGCACATCATATAAAAAGATAAGGAGAAAGAGGGTCTCCCTGTCTAATTCCCCGCGTAGGTGTGAAGAATTTCGTAGGATGGCCATTGATGAGGATAGTCATAGAAGTAGTACTGATACATCTCATGGGCAAGTCTCCCTACAAAAATTCTTCACCTTCGCCGAGGCTAGAAGCTGGAAAATCCTCTGCAGTTCTCGTCCGTCTTTAGTTGATCGTTGTGTTAGTTTGTCAAGGAAGAAGCTATAAGTAGTATACACATGACAGTTAGTTTATAATATCTTCCTTTAATTATTTAACATGCAATACTTTTGCTACTATAACTATAGGAACTAAGCAGTCAACAGGAATACTTAAAGCTGAAGGCACGTTATGAGTCTTTACAACGCTCTCAGAGATACTCATGTAGAGATAATTACATGATTACATAATTAAATGAAACACCGTGTTTCATTTAATTCTCTTATTTTTTTTTTTTATTGTTTTTTAAAAGTTTTTTTTTTTTAATAAACAAGAGATATTATATCAAAGAAGTATCAAAAATACTCTCACTCAATTATAATAGAGTCTTAATTAAGACAATTCAAAGAGATATTATTTCAATCAAAAGAAACTACACAAAATTCTAACTTTAACATCAACACGACAGTGTTATGTAAATGCCATCACGAAGTTTTATGGTCTTGTTTGTTTATTTCTGTTTTAAATTCCAATTAAAAAAATATAAGAACCAAACTTTGAGAAATTCAAGGGAGTTACACGTTTTCTATCCCTTTCTTTTTCTTTTATTTATTTTTATTTATTTTAATTATTTTAATTTTTTTGCTTATTATTATTTTCCCTTTTTTGCTAATTTATTTATAGATTAATTAAGATTTTAGAATGAGATTGGGTTTATTTCATTTGGACTCATATTTTATTTTTGGCCTCATAATGCCAATTACACCCCCATGTTTTGGTTGTTTCAAGCCCGTTATTTTTTATTTGATTTGTTTTATTGCATTTTGTTATTTGTTATAGATAATTTATTTTAATTAATTTAATTAATTTAAATTAGTTTTATTAAATATTTTAATTAATTCAATTAATTTGTGTGATATTCATTTTAGTTGTTTAGTTTATTTTCAATTATTTGATTTTACTTTGTTGATTTCATAACTTACTCTTAGACTTTTTTACAATGAACTTTTAATTGATTAATTAAATATTATTTTAATTAATTGATTTTTGTTAATTAAAGTTGATTAGTTTTACTAATTAATTTTTCTTATCTTAGTTAATTAATTTAATCAATTCTTATTTGATTGATTAAACGTTTATTTCATGTGATACTTATGACCTTGGTTTGACTTTTGAAGACATGACTCTGATACATGGCTTTGACTTCTTGGCTTGGGTTTCTTGTTTCATCTAGATCCTTAAGTTTTTATTTCATCTTATGCTTGATTTACTCTTTGCTTATGGCTTTAATTCAAATGAGTAGGAAGACTTGGCTTGACTTATGTCAATTGACATGATACACTTATGGTTAGCTTACTTTGCACACACATGACTTTCTCTTGGGCTACCTTACAATGAGACCATTTATTTCATTGCTTTTACTTTATGCTTTAGGATAGTCTCTTCATCTCCTCTCATGCTTTAATTTTCAAAACTTTCTCCCTTTTTCAAAGGATTCTTGTTTTCAAACTTGAACCACTTTCATAAAAAAAACCTTGACTTTGTCAAGTGAATTTTCAAATATATTTTCTTAATAAATACTTCAAAATACTTAAGCATATCAAAATCTTTTCAAAATTAAAGGAGGAAAGACTTAAGTATCTCTTGCTTAAGAGAACCACTTAAGATATTTTTCCTAACAAAAACACAAATTTCATTCAAATCTTTTGTGCCATTGTGCACCTTTTCCTTTTAAATTTTTTTTCTTAAAGATTAGACATGAGTCATTCATAGTTGGGATGTCATTTTCCTATCCCCATGGTCATGATTGTAAAAATATTGACTTTTTCACTTGAGCGCTTGAGGCACTTATTGATCTTATCCAAGTGTAAGATCTCTCTCACGTGATGCATTGTCCATTTTTCTCATACTTTGTGGGTGATTAGTTCAATTTTAACTTGTATATTCAATTAAAATCAACCAACACACAAAGTTTTGTTCTTTTTTAGAAGAACTACGTGGTTTTGATTTCTCCATTGCACATTGGAGGTACATAGGCACAAAACTCTCAATTTTTTGCCGAATCAAAATATTAAAAAATAAATTGTTTTCTCATCTCTCCAGTCATATTGCAAACAACCATTTTAATCAAACACAGATTTTCAAGAGGTTTCTGCAGAGTGCGATAGATGTGAAGGGTGATAATATCTTCCCTTTGCATAACTAACCATCGTACTATGTTCACTTTTTGCTTTGCTTTTTACTTTGTTTTTTGCCTTGTTTTTTGCTTTGCATACTTTTGTGGGTTTTATTCGATCTTTTTCTTTTTTTTTGGAAACAATAAAGTTTGGCGGCATCTCTTGTTTATTTGTGAGTTAAGTTAATCAATAGATTATTCTCAAAAATTTTCCGCCGCGACATTGTGTTGTTAATTTTCTAGGCATTTTGAGATCCAAGCTATCAGACTTAGAGCACACCACCGAGGACATTTCGTTAATCATCCAGTGAAGTTGTATGTTGGAGGACTAGTTTCTGAAAGGGGTTGGGATTAGGATGTGGACCTAATGTCCTATATGCAAATTGAAGAATTGGTTAAAGGTGAGGGATATTGCAATATTAAGTGTTTATGGTATTGGAATCCTAATTTATCTTTTTCTCGTGGACTTCACACTTTGAATAATGACAATGATGTGTTAAGGTTCGTGGAAGATGTTAAGGCCTACTGTGATGGCTACATATAATCATACCGTTATGCCAGCCAACGGGCCACAACTATGGCATGTTAATGTGATTCACCTCATCACCCCTTAGTCATGAGGAGATCAACCGGATCCAAAGAAGAATCGCAACAAGTCAAATTGTGAGCCGATGACCCGAAATACATTTCCTATAACTCTTTATTATCAAGTGCAAGAAATACAGAAATTTTGGCCATAACAAGCGAACGTGTAAAGGAAAGAGATCTGCGAAGAGAGCAATTCTTAAAGGTGGCAATAAAAAGGCGGGAAAAAAGGACGATAAGTCGAACACATGGGCGGGACAATCGGTTATATAAGGAGGGTAGCAAGCACAGCCACCAATCCAAAAATAGTTTATTTTTATGCTAATGTTTCTTGTTATGTGTTTTGAATTTTATGTAATGACCAAAACAATTAAGGTCAATGTTTCTTGTTATGTGTTTTAAAGTTTATGTAGTGAGTGAACTTGATGTCATCTGTTTTGAAACTTATGTAATGATGATATACTTGAGGTCACCTTTATGAAATGAAATGATGTTTTTGTTCTGTTATGTTAATGAAAATGTTAGTCATGTTCTATTAAGTAGTGACCAAAAACCTTAAGATCATTTTGTTTTGTTATGGTATAGTATATATGATAATTGGTACAGTAACAAAATGCTCATAATACATACCAAAAATTGTTATGTGATATATGGTACAATAGCAAAATACTCATAATACATAACAAATATCATATGTTGAAACAATTGCAAAATATAGTATATAGAAACAATTATATAACAAACCAAATATGATAATTTCATTAATCCAAAACACTCATATTTTCATCAAATCATTTTTAATACATCAACATTCATTATATCTCCTAACCATAACACTCATAATTTAAACACGTGTCAAAACGAGTGCAAAAACAAACAACAATACAAAAACCATTGAAAAACCCAAAAAATATCATATTAATTTGATCTTCATCTTTATTAGTCTTTCTTTTTTTCCTAAACTCTTAGTTAAATCCATAAGCTCGTCATTTTGATCTTTCAAAGATCTGATCACATCATTTGCACGATTGCTCATTTCTTCATCAGTTCGTTCAAAATAACTACATCCTTTCTTCCTATTTCTCTAAAATTACCACAACCATAAAATTTTTTTTCGTGATTTAGATAAATCCAAGACGTCATCAATGGTGACTCAAGATCACACCATCATCTATTCCTCTATCTTGAAACAGACTGATTTGTTACAGAAAAACTAGATATTGATTCAGACATAAGTAGAAAAGAAGAGAGATTCAAAGAGAGATAAACCACACAAGACGAAAAGAAGAAGCAAACAACAAAAATTGTTACAAATTTGAAAAAGAAATGAACCGGACAAGCAAACGTGAAGAAGAACGAACAAGATGAGACGTCTTCAATTTTAAGGTTCTTCAAGGTCTAGGGAGAAAATGTACATAATATAGGTTACAAAATTAACCTTAAAAAAATAATAATTAAAAACAATAAATAATAAGACTATTAAATTGAATGAAATATATATTCTGTCATGTAAATCATTAGAACATACCAGCTCATCACAAACAGCACCACCTCATTAAAAAATAGTCACAAATAGAATGGAAGAATAAACTCAAAACCAAAACTTAAAAAAGAAACAAAAATCGTGATTTTTAAAATAGTTGGATCAAAACCCCTAACAAAAAACAAATTATAGAGACTAAAAGTGCAATGACGCCTATTAAATTTAACTTGTTTGCCTCTTTAAAAAAAAAAAAGAGAGAGATCAAGCCTTCCATAGCTCAACAACCCCGAACCTGACCACATCATCAACCACAATTGCCTTATCCACTCTAAATCTCCAATGGCGTGTATTAAGTCATTTTTATCAAAATCTCAAGCAAGGTAACAGAATACTCAAATTTCAAATAGTCAAGATAGGTTTAGAGAAACACAACTAAGTTTCAAATCTGAATCTTATTTCGTTAATCATTTGTAAGGTGTTGAGTCTCGTGACAAAGTAAGTTCTACGAAATTCCTCCAAAATCAATTTTATAAATAATGGGATACTAAACATCTTTTGCAAGATAAGTTCTACGAAATTCTTCCAAAATCAATTTTATAAATAATGGGATACTAAACATCTTTTGCAAGGGATTAAGCAAATAGAGAAAGCATGTAAACATAGTTGCAAAGGAGAGACAACTAGCAAAGTATAACATTAGTGTTTCCGCAACAAAATTCATAACAAAATAAAAGCAAAACACCATTTGAAATAGAGACTATTATAAATTCATACACCTGACAAACGAAAACAAAACAATGTCTTAAACCAACAAAATGACTGTCAAAACTACTTTAGAACAGTAACTGAGGCCCTACTATTCTGCCAAGCAACTTCAAGCTGCCACTGCCTTCTTTGATTTCTTTGATGGTCTGCACAAAAGATATTCATTTAAAAAAACATACATGAATAACCCAGAGTTAGTAGATACATGACAGGCATAAATTATGTTACTCACTGGGTTTGCTTTGCTACTTCGGCTGGTGGAGCAGAAGTAGGAGCTGCTGCTGGCTTCTCTCCTCCTCCAGGACCCTAAACATTATACAAAGAAACAGCAAAATTTTCATTAAAAACTTGTTAAGACAGTAAAACCCATACTATATTACACATCTATATGTATGTAAATAGATTCTGAAGATAGTATAGGAAACTCACTTGAGCAAAACGCTCCTCCCTACGAGCAAACTTCCTTTCTCGGCTGGCCTTGTTCTTGGCACGCTTGGCCTCAAACTGGTCAGATAAGGTCTTCTCTCTTGCCTTCTCGGCTTTAGACTTGTGGATGCTCTCCATTAGAACCCTCTTATTCTTAAACACATTACCCTTAACCTTCATGTACATGTCATGGTACATATGCTTGTCAATCTTCTTGGCCTCACGGTACTTGCGGAGCAAACGCCTGAGCACACGCATTCTCCTCATCCAAAGGATCTTTGTTGGAAGCCTTGCCTCCCTGGTACCCTTACGCTTACCTAACAGTATTCAGACAAACACAAATAAGCAATAATCCATTGTCTACTTATTAATTTACCAGAAAGAAAATCATTCCATGCCAGCTCAAAAATACACTCACAGATACAAACTCATATCATCTCATATTTAACAAAACAACTAGATAAATCTAACTAAATGATGAGCAACTCAATAAAATATTAACATCTTCACAGTTAAATATTGAAAAGAATAACCTGCTAACCATAGTGTAAGCATTTTTCATATAAGATTTTGTTAAAAGAGTTTTATGCTAAAAAAGCTTCTTGTTTAAAAAAGAATATCATAAACTTCTGGAGAAAAAAAATCATTTACAATGGAAAATAAGCAACAAAAAAATCACTCTAAAATTGTAAAAAAACACAACTACTTCTGATAATCTTGTAAATACAAAAACAATATAACTAAATTATATAATATCAAAAACACTGTTAATTTAACCTGCAACCTGAATAAGAAAAATAAATCACTTAATAAAACTGTAACAAAACAATTCTTATAAGTCCAAAATCAAAACCACTTTTTGTAACCTGCAACTTAAATCATGAGTCATAATCCATTCAAAATGAAGCTAATAAAAACTTAGAGAAATAAAATACCATATCCAGAGTGTCTTCCTTTCCTCTTCGCTTCCTTCATCCTACGAGCACGTGATCTGGAGTGAATCTTGGTAGGTTTCCTGATGATAAACCCATCCTTAACAAGTTTCCTTATGTTTTGGCCTACAAATCAAAATCCAATCAAAAACCCTAAAACATGATACAGAAGCTGAATCTATAGTATAGAATCTATAGAATCACAATCAAAATCAAATCAATGAAATTCAACGATAACAGATTTGAAATCGATGAACAAAAAAGGATAAAATTGCTTACGAGAGTTAGCCATAGAAATCTCGTTTCCCTCATTTGGATCTAGCCAGACCTTTCCCCTTCCGCACTTGAGGACACTGGCGGCGAGACGCTTTTGGAGTTTGAGCGAAACCATGTTTCCCTGTGTGTAGAAGCTAAGGCTATCGCAGAATGGTGGAAGAGATGCAGCGTCGAATATAAACCTAGGGTTTGGAATTTTGTAATGGGTTTACGGGTCATTTTCATTTCTCTTAAGCCCATTTATTTTATCTCTTTGGCCCAATAATAATAAAACACTTTTTAACAATACTAAATTTAAATAATAAAACAATGATAAATTTCAATATTGGAACTAAAACACTTGTATGCTCTTTATATTTTATATTTTGTGTATATATATTAATAAAAAAATAAATATTATATCACAAGGCAACAATATATGTACCTTTTTATTATTTTATTTGTCTTATTTGATTACAAAATATATATAAAATATTTCTAATCAAATATTATGATATGATAAGTTATTTATTTTCTCTTAATCAACGATTTTGAGTTTGAAAACAAAATACATACATTTTTAAATGTCCTATTTAATGAGTATATAAATAGACATAAATAACAACAATAAATAAATAAGGAAATTTCTTCCGGGCTACCATGGAAGGTCTCTAATATAATGTTTAATGTTTATGGTGATTAGAGATAAAGTGTACATGTAGGTTTAACAAATGCTTTAGAAGGAGATGAAATTTTCAAGTGTGTAAATGAATGATATTTAGGTGTGATTTAGGTTCATGCTTGTATAAGGGTGTCAGCTAGAATCAATGTTGATTGGTCTGACATGATGAGACCCAGAATCGTTGGATGAACATCAATTGGAGATATATAGTTTAGGTTTTACTTCAATGAGGTGCCTCAATAAGGGTGTTTTCTTGTTTTCCACTTCAATGGACTTTGTGGGTGGATTAGGCCTCTGGATTGGCAATTCTGATTGGGGATTTGGCCATCCTAAAATTGTTGTTCTCCAAGTCTTTATTGTCAGTCATGAAGTAGGGATTATTGATGTTAGAGCTTTGAGATTAGTTCCTCTATGAACTCCGTCGTGGGAGTGTAATTTGTGGAACATCGTTCTAGGGAAAGGAAAAGTTCAAGTTGAGAATCTAAGTAGGAGTTTGTAGCATTAGGAACATGTGCATTAATGTTTATCATGTCACTAAAATGTTGCTTTGGGAGAGTATTCCATTGTGAGATTGAGGTCTAATCTTGATCATTGATTCATGACATTTGGTGCTTCTTTGGTTCTTATGATTTAATCGTGTCACTATTATGGCCTATAAATTGGGAGAATGAAGGTTTTCTTTTTCGCCTTCCCTCATCTCTCAGTGTCAAAAACATCTTCATCTTCTTGTAATTTCGGCGATATCTATTACAATTTTTTGTGTTCTACTTTCATTCTCAATGACTTTATCTTCATCCTTTAAATACTGTTATTTCCTAGGTTTATAGTGATTTTCTTATTATAGATTTGTCTTAAATTTTTAGCATTTTTATAAATATTTAAGGCACTAATATCTCACATTTTCCTTTCACTTGTTCGCATCTGCTTTTTAGTCATGGCCAATGTATGAAACTCAAATATCCCCTATATAAATTTAAGTAGCACTGATGAAATTAATGATGATTCATCTTAGACTAAAGTGATAAACCAAAAGAACAGAGAGGTGATGTCTTTAGAGGTAAAGCACCAAACACTAAGCACTGCGGAGATTAGGAATCTTAATGAAGAGAGAAACCAAAAACGATTGTTGGTTAATATGGGGAGGTTGATCCCTTTAGGATTGATATTAGGGAGGTCACTCGTGGGTTTGCCTTTTCTCCCCTTTATATGTCGAACTCAGAGACTATTACTAACCCCAAAGATTAATGGAATGCCCAAGCCTGCATTAAATTACAAATAATATCATTTGGTCGTGGCTCCGTTAACAATGGTGCGACAAATAAAATGGGATCTTGAGCTTCATACAGAGGATGATCAGCATCCAAGAATGGAACAAAAAATATTAGGGAAAAACTTTGTCTTTACAAATGAGAGAGGCGTAGACAATTCCCTACAAGACAGATGATTGACTTCTAATTGGATGTTACTTCAACCTGGTGATGGTAAAAGATTGTGTAGTCGATTTGAATGATGTGTACTTCCTTCACATAAATGTCTCTTCTCTTGAATGGGATTCATGCTTCCCTTAAATGAATTTGAATTCAATGGTATGAATCATATAAGGATTGCTCCCTTATAATTACACCATGTGAGTTTTACCTATGTTACAACTTTCCAATATTTGTGTGAATATAAAATATTCTCCCCACAATAAAAAAATGTACTCCATTTCTTCCACATAGAACGAACCTTTGCCCAATCATCCATGCTCAAGGTTTGTTTCATTTAGGCTATGTAAGAAAATGTTAAGGTGTATATAGATAGTCAAAAAGGTTTCAAAGATAGGTATTACCTTGCGGGCCCCCTTAGTTGTGTCGCTCACGATAGCCTTTGCTACTTTCTACCAGGATCTCCATCTCAGACTCCTACTTTTCCTTCAAAATGTGTTGATAAGTCTGTTAGGTTGAATAGAAACGTAGAATGGTATAGAAATGGAGGTTGAATATACCTTCCCCAATTAAAATTTATTTTAAAAGATTTTTCAAAATCAAAGTTTAAAATGTGCAGTAGCGGAAGTTAAAAAATGTTTTGCAAAGGAATTATGCAACTGAGTTGATGTATATATGAATTCAATAATGACATGATAATCATGAATAAATTGAACAACAACATGGTAATTAATTTAATTTGATCCAAACAAGATGATTGAAAATAATTTGATTAATTAATAGAATAATCTAAAGTTATAGATTTCCAAAATAATCACTAGAAAGTAATGTTTAACACACGAGATCTACCTCAAACCTAAACTCAAACATTAAATTGCTATAAGCTATAAACCCTAATCACATGCAATACTATAAAGTGACAACAACCTAAGAATATGTAGTGATTACACCAGCACTCCTAACATTTCTCCTGTTCCTACTCCAGTTATTACACCTGCTACTATTCCTATTCTTACTCCAGTTATCACCCCCGTTGCTGAGCCATCTGGGACTCGGGGCAAGGAAATTATAGGTGAGCCTGCCCGGACGGAGGCACCTAAGAAAATCATTATGGAAGCCTTTAAACAAGAAATAGAGGAAATACTGAAAATTATCAAGAATAGCGACTACAGTGTGGTCGAGCAGCTGGGGCAGACCCCGTCAAAGATCTCCATGTTGTCCCTGCTATTGTATTCTGAAGCCCATGCAAAGGCTTTGA